ATCCAACCTAATTTGAAACTACCAAAGTCCCAAACCCCCAAAAACCCCCAAATTGGTAGACTGTTTCCCCTCATTTAACTACCCCCATTTTCCAAAAAAAATACTTTCCCATGTCCTTTCTTAAAACTAAAAATTATCTAATTTAAATCCATTATGCGGGTTCCTCTTTTGGAAAAGACATCCTCAAGACCTTATTTTAAAATCCCCTTTTTTTAAAACCTATCTTCCAATTATACACTTCATAGGTCTCCCCCCCATTCCCCTTTGTCTTAAAAAAAAAAGTGAATGGAACTTTAAAAGTCTTCAATCTTTCTTCATAAGGAAGATTTTTTAAAGCTATGTTTTAATTTTGTCATCCTCGCGAATGTTTTTTAAAAGAATTTTTTGTTTCCTTTTGTAATAAAGGGGGACCAGAATGAGCTGCATAATCTAGGGGAGGGCCCTTTCAATGATGTATTTAAAACTGCAGTTTTGACCTCTTTACTTCTGGCTTACCCCTTCTTTATTTTTAAACCCAGTAATCTATTTTCCTTATTACGTTCCTTGGGGGGGTTGGGGAAAAAATTGGGGGGGGGGGGGGGTGGGGGGGGGTGGGGGGGTTTTTTTTTTTTGGGGGGGGGGGGGGGGGGGGGGGGGGGGGGTTTTGGGGGGGGGGGGGGGGGGGGGGAAAACATTCCCCGTCCCCTTGGGTTTAAAGGTTTTAACCCCCCTTTTTGGAATCTTTTGCTTTGGGGTTAAGATTCCAATTAAATTATAAGGACTTTTCCCCCAAGCTTGAACCCTTTCCCCTTTTCTTTAACCCGGCCCCTTTTTTCCGGAAAATTATTTTTAAACCTTAACCTAAAATCTAAGTTTTAAAATTTTATCCAAATTCTTTTTTGGCAAGCTCAAAAAGTTTTATGAAGGGAAATTTTAAAAAAAAATTTGTTAAGACAAGACCCCCGGCCCCTTTTGGAAATCCTGCTTGAGTATCCCTTAAAACCAAGATTTTAAACCGAGTCCCCTTTTTTAAATCTTTTAACCCATAAACCTTAAAAATAAAATAAAATTTTCCAAATTTTTTTTGGGGCCCCCGGGTTTTTTGGGGGAAAAATTTTTTTTTTCCGACGGGTAAACGGACTTTTTCCCCCTGTTTTTAAAAAATAGGAGGGTTTTAAAAAATTCCCCAAAAAAAACTTTCCACTTAAAAAAAACACCCCACCCCTTTTGAAAAGATAAATTAAAAAAAATAAATTTTAAAGGTTCACGAGTTCCCTTTTGCATTCCTTAAAAACCCTTTAAAAAACCCCATCAGGACCCGGCGACTTATTTTTCTTCAGTCTGCCCATCTGCTTCACAACCATTCACTATGGGCTGTGATGTTAATAATTTATCTTCTTTAGCCCACTGTAAAAAATTTAAATTTTGGGAAAATTTTTTTTTTTTTCTTTCCCGGGGTAAAAAAATGAGGGGAAAATAATTAATTTTAAAATTCCCGCACATTTTTTATTCTCTTTGTCAGTAAGGTGCCCAAGGTTTTTTTTTAAGGGGACCCAACTTATCTCTAATTTTGTTCTATAGACCTGGAAAAAAATTTTTTTGGGGTTTGGTTTTTTGAATCCCTAGCAACTTTTAATTTTATAGTCCCTTTTTTGCTTTTTTCCCCTTTTTTTTTTTTCCCCCTTTTAAAGGGCAATATACTGATTCATTTAAAATGACCCTCCCCTCTTTTTATACGCCTTTAAATTCCCTTTTTATGCCCTATTTGAATTAGAGCCTATTATTATCCATTTTGGGTAAAATTTTTATTTGATCTAATTTTTTTTATATGGGATAAAAAAGCTCTTTGAGCAGCATGTTTAGTTTTTAGAAAAAATGTCGAAATTTAAGCTCTCTTCGTTACCCCCCTCAACAGATGATTTAATTTTTCTAAGCCCATCGAAAACCCGCTAACGGAAAAAACTTGGGGCTGTTATGAGTTATCGCTACTATCGTACTTCCATTCATTTCTAAATTTTAACTGATTTTTTGGTCCTGCACCCAGTTCCTCTGAAATTTCTTTAAAATTTTTTAAAAAGGGATTCATTGTTTTTTCCATAAAATAAGTCAACAAAGGTTTTTTTTCCCCTTTGGGTTTTGTCCAAACCCGCTTCAAAAAACCAAAACCGAAAAACTTCTAAAAGTCGTTTTTGATTTTAAAAATTTTTAGGCAAGAGAAAATTCCCAAACAACTGAAATAAAGTTTTTAAAATCTCCCAAAAATTTTCTACATTATCGTGCCTTGTGGCCTTTTTTAATTTCCCCCCCTTGTAGTTTTCCCCTTGGGCCCCATCTAAGTTTGGGGGGCGGGATATCCTCCTAAAAAAAAATTTTTTCCCTGGCCCCTTGAAAAATTTATCCAAAAGGGCCTGGGATGTGTTACCCTTTAACTTAAACCCGTTTTTATGCAACAGTTCCCAAACGATCTCGGAAAATACAATGCCCCCCCACCCCCCCCCCAATTTTTTCTAAACCTTTTTTGGAACAAATTTAAAAAACCCGAATTTAACTTTCCGCAAAGGGTGTTTCCCACTTTTTGAATTAAACCACGCCAGTTAAAGGGAAATTTTCCAAATTTTTTTTTTTTTACCTACACTAGCAAAATAATTTTCAACTCCCCCCATCTTATTCCTTCACCCACGGCAAATTTGCTAATAAACTTTTAAAAAACTCCTTTCTCTTTACCCCTTTCCGCCCATTTCTAAATTTTTTTACTAAACCCATTACTGTCCTTTCACCCAAAAGGGCCCTGGCTTTTTTAAAAATCTATCTCGTTTTTTATTTTTTACAAATTTTTCCCCAGGGAATGTAATTTACTACACGGGAATTCACTGGTTTTTTGGCCCAAAACCCAACCACAAAATATTTCCCAGTTTAAAATCCCCAAATTCTCCCTCCACTCAGTTGCCAAATGTTCCCCCCCCCAAACTAATAAGTGAAAAACCCCAAACCCTAGCATAAAATGTCAATTTCCCCGCCCTAGAAAGGGGGGTCCCCTTGTCAATGAAAGTTACCGCATTTTCCTTAAAAGTATTTTCCAGCCAGCAATTTGGGCACCCAAATTTCCCCGGACAACCATTCACTTTTCCCAAACCCCCCCCTTGGCAAAAAAATGTTTAATGATAAAGTATTTTCTTTTTGGGTATTTTCTTTCTTTTTTGGGGCAAGCTGCCCGGTGGGAGCTGCCCCACTTTTTGAAATATATAAATATATATATATATATATATATAATTTTTATATTTATTTATATTATATATTTAGTTAATTTTTTATTGTGCCCCACTTCTTTTATTTTTTGTGGGTTTGTGTTGGTTGAAGGGGATGTGTGGAAATGGTGTGGGGAGGTGCGCGGCTGCTCAGGGCTACGAAGAGCAGTTTTTCGTTTTTAACACGAGATCATCCCCCGTGGGGTCAAGTGAACTCCGTGAACGGGCATTCCCCGCAGGAGCAAAGCACCAGGGGTGCCCAGGGGCCCCAACAAAAAGCCCTCCCCGAGGTAACCGAGTCTACCCTTTCCCCCTTTACCCCCTAGTTGGGTTACAGAGGTCAACCCTCCCCCCGACCCCGTCATAAGACTTTCCCCTTGGGCAAACCGTGGTTCAGGGTGATGCTACCCGCACGCGTCCAAAGTAAAACATCACCGCCTTTGGGTACACGAAAAATTTGGGGCTTAATTTAAATTTTTCTCTTTAAGATACTAGGGGTGTGTTCATTTTTTTTCTCTATTTTTAAACGTTTCTCACTTCATTTAAACCCTTTCCACACTTTATGTTTTGGGTCCCATTTTGGGGGTAAAACCCGGGCCAGTTTTAACCCAACCCGCAAATAAACTTGTTGTGACCACCAGTAGTACAGAAACTTGACACCTTCAAAATTGGGAAAATAAAGAATATTTTTTTGGGGGGAAATTTAAACTTGAGCGAGCTTTAAATGAAGGAAAAAAGGGTAAAATTTTTCAGTGTTTTTCACAGTAGTGTTTTAACTTTGCCCCCGGGGCTTATATTTTGATAACCTGCGCTTCCAGCCTCCCTTTCCCCCTCAGACCTAGGCCCAGGGACAGCGGCAACACTACTAAATTTATGTAACTATTTTTTTTGTAAATTGGGTTTTTTTAAAATTTGTCTTCTTATAGCATCTTGGGGTAGTTCTAAAAGTAGGCTTTGAAAATGTATGAGCAAAAATGGTTGGATTCGAGAAGGACTTACCTTGCATAAGACAGTAGACCTACTGCCGTTGTTGTGTATTGTGTTGTGTGTACAGGTGGGTGAGTCCAGGTGATGGAGGAGGGGCGGGACAGTGTGGGCTCTGGCGGAACAGTATAATTATCTTATAGATCACGCCGGAAACTGCTCTCGCACTCCAATGTGCGCTCTGATTGCCCGCCATCCATTCATTCATCACCCAGTTAATGACAACCACTCATCTATCACACAACTCGTCACCCAGCCCCTATAACTCGTCAGTCAGTCCTCACCCACCACACAGTAACGCGCCACCTAAGCTCCCTTTCATCTTGTCACTAAGCGGGGATTCGTCACTCTTCTACTAATCTGAATCTTGCAAGGCTTTTTCACTCGTGTGTTCTGGGGTGTTTTACGTGTGCCAGCGTTGGACAGGTAATGGTATGAGATACGACACGATTCAAGACAAGCCCAAATTCACGAGATGAACTTTAGGGTGACGTTTCTGTCCTTCCTGGACCATTGTCAAATCATTAACACGCTGGTAAGGAAACAAGTGTGGAATCCTCTAGTAACGACGTTTAGTCCCGCAAGGTACTAAACGGAGTCGCAGGAAGAGAGGGAAAGGGTTGTTAGTTCCACCCTGGCCGTGGCTATCCTTACAGTCTGGGAGGGTAGGCCAGGAGAGCAAGAGATTCAACAACAGCTGCCTTTGACCTGCCTAAGCAGAAGTTTTTATCTATGTCCTCATAGCGGACATAGATAAAAACACTAGTCATAGCTTCGTATCATCCTTTGCAGACTATCCCAAAATGAGGATTAAAGTCATCTCTTCAGAAGATATCAACAAAGTCTTTCAGTGGACAATAGAAAATAACATGATCAATAGTGACAAATTCCACCTGCTCAGATATGGAAAGAACAAAGAACTCAAAAAGATAACTAGATACAAAACACAGGAAGACAATCTCATGAAGCAAACGGAACATGCAAGAATTTTGGATTTAATAATGTCGACTGACTTAGCATTTAGAGAACACACTAAGGCAAATTCTGTAATAACCAGACACATGACAAGATGGATAATGAGAACTTTCAAAACAGAAATAATGCCCAAGGTAACACTTTACTATCTTGTGCTATCTAATTTAGAATATTGATCGGTGTTGATGGTTCCTTTCAAGGCAGGAGAAATTTCAAAGCTGGAGAAGGCGAAGAGATCGTTTGTTGCTCGCATAGAGACAAATTATTTTAATTACTGGGAACACCTCATAGTACTTGTAATGCTCTATATGGAGTGAAGAAAAGATACCTGTTAATATATACATGGAAGATCTTTGAGAACTTAGTCCCAATACTGCACACTACTTTAACATACTATCCTGAAATATACGATGAAGTGTAAAAATAGGCCCATTGAAAGACAGAGGCGTCATAGGCACAATAAAACACTGTGTAACATCAGGGAACCAAAACTCTTCAACATCTACCACCAGTGATACTCACTTCTCCGTAGTCTGATTTTTTTCTTAGATTTTAAAGCATTTTTTTTTTTTTTAGTTTTAGTTTTAAGCACAATGAAATATTTTGTGACAGTTTGTAATACATACTGATATTAATGTGTTTGATTGTAAGATGGATAATATGTACTTGGTTATTAACTGTTTATTAAAAGTGGGAAATCGTTTATAAATGAATGGTAATGTATAGGCTTTACCTTTGATATACCTTTACCCTTGAAGAGTTTAGAGAGTTTCACTATCGGAGCCCGGCCATGAGCAGGCTCGTCTGGTGTTTGCCTGGTCAACCAAGCTGTTGCTGCTGGAGGCCAGATGCCCCACATGTCCATCACAGTTTGGTGTGTACTTTATAACACCAAAGTAGGTCTTGAGTGAACCTTGACTCGTTGGTCTGTGGGGTTGCTCATTTTTGAGGCCCTGCCGTCAGGCACAAGAGGGGAGACGGCTTGGTGGTTGATTAGGGGTTCTAAGAGTATTCTTGGGAATACCGAAATTGACCGGGGATTAAACCTGTGGATGGGATTGATAGAAGCCTTTGAAAAAACATAAGAAGTTAGGGAAATTATAGATTCTCCTAATTCTGTTATTTTTTTAAAAGGGTGGAGGGAAATAGGGGGTGTAATATTGCTCCAGCCTTACCCATTTACTTAAAGTGAAAAGGGTGGTTAGTACAAGAGTTTTTTGTTCTTTCATTAAGAGGGAGTCGTTCTACCTACAGTATAGAGACAGAAGGTGCCAAACCTTGGTCGTGGTTGGACCAACAGACGAAGTGGAGGTTCAAAAAGGGAACTGTCGTTGACTAATTTTTATTATCATTATTATAATCATAACTAACCACTACGCCCACAAGGGTCATACAGCGCTGCTGATTAATTTTAAGTGTCCCTCTCACTAGTATAGTTTTAACATTTTCTCATCGTTGTGTAAGTGTAATAAACCTTAATTAAATATCATTATTTTTTCCCCTCCCAGTAGTCTGGTCTAACCGGTACATTATCAGTAATCCTGTATTTCTCGTACTTTGATTATTAGTGTATTAAATAGTGTTCCCTTATATAATTCTTAATCATTTTTCACCAGTATTATAATTTTCTAAAGTATAAAGTGCTGATTAATTGCAGTTTAAGTGATAAAGGGCTGCTCTGACTATATAGGTAGGTAGGTGCTGAGGTGTTCCTCTGGACGCAACAGTGAGGTCGTGGGTTGGTTGGTTGACTAAAAACACTGAGGCAGGCAGGCGAGCGCCGCCACCGCTCTGATGCAAGACTCCCCGACAGTTAGTGGCTGTACCGGCAATTTATGCCTTCGTAACGAGCAATAACCCGCTAGTTTGAAGCAGGTGTTGCCATACAGAACACTTAACTTCACAAGGATGCACCATACCTTTAGCTCGTAACAAAGTGCATAAAACTGAATTAAAAGTAATTGCTAACTTCTGCATCCTTCAGAGTATGTAACGTCATAATTTTCACGCTTATATTTAGTCCTGTTAAATCCTGAAGACTGCACCTGCAGCCAGCACTATGCATTACTGTTATTGCCTGCTGGTATGATACTTGTGCAGTCTTATATACGCTCCATCACAAGAGAAAACGAATATTCTTTGTTAATATAGTGCACTGTGGTTCATTACTACTACTACTAATTATATATATATATTATATATATATAATATATATATATAATATATATATATATATATATATATATATATATATACTCTCCATAGGTGGGTAAGGCAAAGACTTGTAGCTTCTTAGGGCATTTTTGCAAGCAATGGAATCAAACACCTTCCCCACACACATACTTAAATAGTGAACTATATACTTAGAGTATGGGTAGGGTATTAAAAAAAAAAACATTCCTCAGAGTATGGGTCCACGCAAGAAGCCCAGGCTTGCCGCCCTTGGTGTGGGCGGAGGTGGTAGCGTGGGTGTGGCAGCTAGCATCACTGGCGTAGGAGGCAGCGCGGGCGTGGGAGGCAGCAGCGCGGGCGTGGGCGCAGCATCAGGCAGCAGCAGCAGCAGTAGCAGCCAACGTCTTGTGCGAGCCTCCAAAACCTTTTCGTCGACTGACACCCTGCGGGAGGTCCAGAACTTTGTAAGTAACATTTTTATATCATGAAGGAGTGTATCCACACTGCTAGTCATTACTGCTCACCTAAATTGTTATGAACTTGTCTTTCATCTCATCTTTAATACTATCATCTTTAATATATATATATATATATATATATATATATATATATATATATAATATATATAAATATATATATATATATATATATATATATATATGCAAAACATCCACTGTGAAAGAATAGAGAAGTTCCAATCGCTTTCGTGGCTACTCACATTAGCAAGGAACAATGAAAGTAAAGCATCAAAGGAAGGTATATAAAGGGGTAGCCCACACCTCACTATCAGATCCCACAACAACGAAACACCTGACGCGAGACAGCAGCCCCACTGGCCAAACTAGACAGGTCCTTCATACAACCCACCAACAAACTATTCTTCCCAAGAAATAAGAAATTTAAAAAATTATTATTTGTCCAATGTATTATTAAATTCTTCCCAAATTCTATTAATTATAAATGGATATAATTTATATAAACCAAAGGAAATATTCATATTATTGTCAAAACTGCATTTTATGAAACAAGATTCAGTTATATTCCTGTTGACCATGGACTTGCTTGATACTACTTTCTCAACTTTTTGAAAATCAATTGGATGGTTAAAATATCTTACATGAATAAATAGAGCATTGGAAGCTTGTCCAGTTCTAATGCTATATTTATGTTGTTTTAATCTTAGTTCGAGATTTTTACCAGTTTGACCGTAATAAACTTTATCGCAAATTTTACAAGGAATCTTACCGACACATCCATCAGCATTTTGGGGGGAATTCTTTATCAAAAGTTTTTTTACTGTATCAAGATTTTTGAATACAACTTTAATATTAAAAGTCTTAAGAAGAGAAGGCATATCAACCAAGTTTTCATGGTAAGGGAGAACCAACATATTTTTGGTTGAATAAGGCTGGTTGTCCCTTTTTGGATTGTAAAAAGTATTTCTATTCTTTCACAGTGGTTGTTTTGCATATTCTGAAATCACCTGTTTACTGTGATCTTATTGCATATATATATATATATATATATATATATATATATATATATATAATATATATATATATATATATATATATATATATATATATATATATATATACAAAATGATGTGATATGTGATCTGGTGTATCAAATATTTCATTAGCTTTAAGGAAGGGCTTTTTGGAGTATTAAATGTATACCTGTAGACTGGTTAATATGATAAAGCACAGTATGACAGATGTGGGACATATTTGCTCATGTTTGCAATTTATGATTGTCTATGATATAAAGTTGTGTGATTAATTAAGGTATATAATAAATCGCGGCGAGTGACCGTCATCTGGCCCATGCTGCGACGTTGTGGGTGGTAGTGATAGACCAGAGTGATCAGTGAGGACACTGCCTGTACACTCATGACGATCACAGAGCCATGACCTCAACGCTCTAAGAGTCCGTCCAGGGACACCATTCTACTTCAGAGCAGCATTGAGTAAACGTAATGCGCTGCATAGATGAAATTAAAGTACAGGTAATACAGTTAGCACCCTTTTGTCATTTCACAATGACCTTTTCAGCTTAAAGTTGAGGAAAGACATGTAGTATAACGTTCACGGCGACGAGGCATTCATGCTGCAGGTGTGGGCTGTGAGCCTGAGGATGTCGTGAGACTGCCTGTACCTCACATGAATAAGGTTGACCTAGTTGAGTGTAGGGACACATTATGAGACAGGATCCGTTGTTCTCAGCTTTGATCAGCAACTTGTGGCATCATTTAGGGAATGCTTATTGAATTGTGTCCTGCGCAAGATGGCACTAGTTCGGACTCACGGTAATTCACAGTTACCAATCTCTCCTTCTCAAAAGGATAACACAAACACCAGAAGAAACAACCACAAAATATTTCATAAACCCGGAGAACAGCTTGTAAATAATACTAGAGATAGGCTCTGAAAATTCCAGTTTTTGTACCTCTGGTGTTGATCGATATTCTCGGGAACACACTTGTGTGTTGGTCCTGGCATCAACACTTGGCAGTGTTTGTGTGTTGGTCCTGGTATCAACATTTCGCAATGTTTGTGTGCTGGTCCTGGTATCAACACTTCGCAGTTTTTGTGTTGGTTCTAGTATCAACACTTGGCAGGTGTTGCACATGTGCCTTATTCATCTTTCTGCTCGGCGTAATAAACTAAAAATATATGATACCTAATGCACACTATTGTCTGAGAGCAAGAGGATTCCCCCTCTCTCTCTACTACCCACACTCAGAAAAAAGGGCAGTTATCTCAGTCATTGTATAGGGTTCAACTATGTGCTTAATTGTCCACTGATTGAGGAATATAGAGATATCAAGATATAGATATATAAAGCTATTAATGAAAATAAGATACCAGATATATTAAGCAAATTTCCTAAATTTACTTGTAACAAATAATTGAGCTGAAGATATAAATTCAGATGTATTCTTATTAACACTTTTGGGGCCTTGTTCCTAAGCGTTTTCTGTATCCATATGCTCTTGCGCTGCCATCCACAAGCTGGATATGGGATGCACAATAAACTAGCCACTTCGGTGGTAAAATCTTGTATAGGGCTCAGTGGAAATCCTGGTAACCAGATATATGCTTTCAAACCCACGCTGAATCTGAACAGTAATCCAGACAGGTATATTCACGTGGAAACGCTGAACCCTTAGGGGGATCATACTACGCACTGCAAGTTGGATAAAGTTGATACAGTGCTAAAAAATGGTATGCGATACTGACAGGTTGTTGGGAAAAGACACAAAATACAAACACTGGGTCCCAGGACCGAACACTTGGTTCTATGACCTAACACTTTGGCCCAGGACCGATCACTAGGTCCCACGATCGAAATATTTCCAATAAAATTCATGGTGTTTGCATTTCGGGTCTTGTTCCAACAAAGTTGATTCACTTGATAAGGCTGCTCCGATGAAATATTTTTCTACCACGTGTCTTTCCTTCACAAGTACAGTACATTATTCACATGAGTGAGCGAATAATTTTGACTAGTGAGATATGTGGGTCAGCGGGTCGCCAGCAAGGACAGCCTGGCTGCCCAGGCAAGCACCAGACAAGCCTGGCCCAAGGCCAGGCTGCGGGAACAAGGGGAACTCTCCAAAACCGTCAATGATATGAAGGTAAAGATTTATGAGAGCTTAAACTGCGAGAATAAAACGAAAGTCAAACAAAACCTTTAAATCAGTGTCCCCGTCTCTCCGTAGGGAGAGACGGGGACTGAAAAATAGAGAGAAGAACAGTAGGCTCGAGATGCTTATAAAAGATGTGGAAGAGGGAACTGAGGAAGCCGATTAAAGTACACTGCAGAGTGGCATAAAAAAAAACGGGACGAAAAAATGGAGGGGGTCCAAGGATAAGGGAAGCGGATAAAGCAAGAGAAGGCTGAACGTGGATGTTTCTCGTAGATATTCTCAGCATGATGGATGTGTTCTAGCAGACTTTGTCGTGGGTGCTTTGTTTATTGACCACTTCTTGCGGTTATTGGTCGCTTCTTGTGTTTATTGATCACTTCTTGCGGTTGTTGGCCGTATTGATTGTTTCTTGTGTTTATTGATTGTTTCTTGCGCTTATTGATCACTTCTTGTGTGTTGGTTGACACTTGAAGAATCGTATATGTTGAGTTGGTTTTGATTCCATGCGTTCACCTTCATTGGTCTACTTTATAATATTTGCTGGTCGCTGCTGCTGTAGACCTTCTTGCTGTCTGCTGCTGCTGCTGCTGCCTGCTGCTTTTGTGCTGCTTGTGTGTCACTGCTGCTGCTGCATGTGCTGCTGTTTGCTGCTGCTGCTGTTGCTGCTGCTGCTGCTGTTGCCTGCATGCTTTTTCTGCCTCTGCTGCTGCTGCTGCTGCTGCTGCTGCTGCTGTGGCTGCTGCTGCTGCTGCTGCTGCTGCTGCTGCTGCTGCTGCTGCTGCTGCTGCTGCTGCTGCTGCTGCTGCTGCTGCTGCTGCTGCTGCTGCTGCTGCTGCTGGCTGCTGCTGCATGCTTGCTGCTGCTGCTGCTGCTGCGCTGCTGCTGCTGCTGCTGCTGCTGCTGCTGCTGCTGCTGCTGCTGCTGCTGCTGCTGCTGCCTGCTGCCTTGCTGCTGCTGCTGCCTGCTGCTGCGCTGCTGCCTGCTGCTGCTGCTGCTGCGCTGTGCTGCTGCTGCTGTGCTGCTGCTGCGCTGCTGCTGCTGCTTGCTGGCTGGCCTGTCTTCTTCTTCTTCTTCTTTCTTCTTCTTCTCTTCTAATAGTAATAATAATGTTCTCCAATGTCTTTCAGTAATTTTAGTGAGACTGGACTGGCGTCATCTTCCATTTGTCTGTCAAATTATCTCGTAATGAAGTACAAAATCTTTTTCTGAGTGGATTCCTTAGCTTTGCAGATTCTTTTCAAACGTTGCTTTTCAAGGACGGTGCCTTAATGGCGGTGAAGGGCTCTTGATTCGAAGAGATGGAGCTGCCTTACTCTTCCTCGGATTGATCCTGATTTTCTCTCGTTTCTTATTTGACCCTTATGAGTTTAACGCTTCCTTCCAGGAACATCATAATTTTAGAACTCTTGGTGGTTACTTGCCTGGTCCTGTTGCTCTTTTTCTCCTGATGCCTGTGATACACTGTGAGCGGTTTCCAGAGACTTTGTACTCCTGCAGCCCTGCCTGTGGCAAGGCTTTATTGGTGCTTGTGTGGTCAGAAAAGTCCTGCCACAAGCTGCTTGGATAGGAAGACTCGCAGTCGGCCACAAGTATAACATAGCTTCCAGCAGGAGCTTTGTCACGCTCTCTTTGGATAGTCTAGTACCCAGCTCACTTGGCTGTTGAGGTTCAAACCCAATGTGTTCAGAGTGTTTGTGTGTACCTGCGTGCATGTGTCCGCTGGAATATTTTGTTGATATCTTCTTGCAGATGTTTCATGTTTTTCTACGGAGGCGACTTTCATGCTTATTTTGGTAACGCCCGCGAAGGATGATACAAAGCTGTGTTTTCGTCTGCCTTGAGGATGAGAAGCAGTTGAGGCACGTGCCTGTATGTGCGCAAGCATCTATTCACCTATGTGTAATTATGTGCAAGTAGTTTTTGTGTGATGATGGGTGGCTCCCAGATATGTCAGTAATGAGTCGTGAGTGTGCGGCGGCGACGACGACGACAACGACGACTGCATCCTTGTAGCGCAGGTTTTGCACAAGGAGAATTAGGGCGCAGCACAGGGTGGAGGTGCTCTGCTGGCAGGGCCGGGAGGTCAGACGAGTTCTGTGTTTTTGTCCACTTTTGTGCATCCCCGATGCCACGAATAAGAAGTTACCCTGGTGTTTTGTGTTTCCATACAATATAGCAGATTTCTCTTAGCGATTGATATACGTACTCCCATGTGCTTAAAAAAAAAAGGAACAAACACTAGGATGTATTTATTAAAATATGTTGTAGTGTTTGCTGTGATAGTATTTTTTGTGTTCGAGTGTTTATGTTCGTTGTTTTCATTATTTGTTAATTTTATCCTTGTTTTTATTCTATGTTTTGTAATGGCTGTGAATGCTGAATGATCTACTCTTTAATGTTCAGTAATTGTTACTACTACTACTACTACTACTACTACTACTACTACTACTACTACTACTACTACTACTACTATTACTATTAGTGTATACTCACTTGTCTTTTCAAATCACTTGTTGGTGTCCATTACCAAGGTTTATACCATACTCTCATGCATGCGGGATATACACGGCTTCTGATGGGTTTGTATGCTCATGTATACACGGACTGTGCCTCACTGTGAACCCGGTCAGTGTGCGAAATGAAAGAACTTTAAATTTTTGCGCTTTGGCAAGATTGTTCAGTTTTTTTTTTATGAACACGTCGTATATCATTCATGTACAACATTAGAGATATTTCTTACAAACTTCTAGTTACATACAGTATACACTGTGAACATTAAAATGGTATAAAATACCGACGGGTTGTTAGGTGAGACACATATGCAACAGTTAGGTATCTTTATTTCGAAACGTTTCGCCTACACAGTATGCTTCTTCAGTTGAGGACAGAAAAGTTGATAGAAGCAGAAGAGACTTGAAGACGATGTAATCAGTCCATCACCCTTGAAGTTTTGAGACTGAGGGACTGACCACCTCAAAACTTTAAGGGTGATAGACTGATTACGTTGTCTTCAAGTCTCTTCTACTTCTATCAACTTTTCTGTACTCGACTGAAGAAGCCTACTGTGTAGGCGAAACGTTTCGAAATAAAGATACCTAACTGTTGCATGTGTGTCTTACCTAACAGTATACACTGTACTTGCTTCTCTGCTTCTTAATGGTTCTTATCCCTGTGATATAGCCTGTGCAACGTAGGAGGCTTGGTCTGAGACCCTGCTATGGGGAACATAATTTATCCTGAAACACTAATAGGGTCTGTTAAGGTGGGAACTGAGGGAACTCAAGATCCAGGTCCATTGCCAGAATCGACCTAT